AACGACTTTCTTCTTCTTTTTTATAACGACTTTCTTCTTCTTTTTTATGATGACCTTCTTCGCCCTTTTTCGAAGCCTTTTTCTCCTGACTTCCCATCTTAGCCATTAATTGAAGCTGGAGCTGAGCAGCCTGCAAAAATGAGAAGGATCGTTGGAGCATAAAAGCAAAGCATGAAGAACACGGTGTTCATCGAATGTGCTGAGGGCTTCAATTCTCTATAAAACGCCACGGGTCGGTGACTGAATGAACTGAGCTTGGAAAGTTCGACTGACCAGGAAAGGTCAACAGGTCAGCCTGGCCATTTGCAATGAGATGCACATCATTGTACTCGTCTTGAGACGGTGAACTCAAACTGTCTTCAAAATTTGCAGAACGATCCTCTGAGCGAAGTTATGGAGGTTTTTTTACTGTTTTTCTTCTTCCGGGCGCGCTGGCGCCGAAGCGATGGCACCTGTAGCGGAACTCACAGACTTTTCGCGTGGTGTCATATTCGTGTTCAGGGGGTTAAATAACCCTTAGAGACGGCAGCTTCGAAATCTGAGGTTCTGACTCAGCTTCGAAAAAATGGGGTATGGATAGTCATGGCTGACTGATTGCCACCAGCGATACTACGACTAGCATACTGATGATGACTGTTTAGCTGAAATAGCTCTTCAGTCATGTCTTTCAGCACCTGGCCCACTGATTCGTGCAGTTTGCATCATTTTCCTGATTACCGGTAGGAATCCATCTCGAGACCAGTCATTGATGGTGGGTGAACCCAGCCTGCGGCCAATTACCCATAGCATAGCCCACATTTTCCAAGTTAGGTCGAAATATCAGATTCGGCTAGAAACTTGTCCCCAGGGGTAATTTGACCCGCTGAACATGAATATCATGGTATTTCACTTGCAAAAACCCTTGTGACATGTGTTACGAGGGGGACAAGCACAAACACTCTTTCAGGCCACAAAGGGTCTACACTTCCAAAAAACTGATTGCAGGTCCTTTTATAGGATAGGGCAGGAGAGCAGAGATGTTAGAAGCTTTGTCAACCGTGTTCTTGGACAAATGCAAAAAGGCAACAGATGGCGGAAACCGATCCGACGACGTCCCGACTACGAAACCCACTCGCTATCCGTTGCGCTCTGCTGCCACGTGTCGGGAAGACTCCATTCATTAATGTGAAGACGCTTCCACGTTTCGTCGCGATAGCATGTAAAACAACCACGAGGGGAGAAATCCCTCCATAACTCCACTCAGAGGATCGTTCTGCAAATTTTGAAGACTGTTTTGAGTTCACCGTCTCAAGACGAGTACAACGGTGTGCATTTCATTGGAAATGGCCAGGCTGACCTGTTGACCTTTCCTGGTGAGTGGAATTTGACGCAGGATTCACTCGAGAACGCTTATGTATGGTCCGGAGAATCCTCAGCTGAGTGTCTTGAACACAAGAGCTACTCTGATTTTATGCATGTATCCCCGCGCTTCCATGATTTTCCGATCCAGCGTACCACATGTCTATGTAATACATTCACTTTGAAGGATGGAGCATTGTTGTTCACGTCTAAGCGCACAGTGCAGAGATGAACTGGTAAAGAACAGTGTTTGCCGACACTGTTCTGTGCTCGTCCAGGATTATTCAAGGTCTACTCCACGTGATTCCCACATCCTTTGCACAACAGAATGCAAAAATTAATAAAACCAATATGTTAAAGTATATGCAGGGGGAATAATCAGATAGTTTGGTTTCCGTTTAGCACGCGCCCTTAGACAGGAACTGAACGACAAAGTATTTCCTCTCTCTGTGTCCTTCAGTAGAGGATCGACGAGACCAATCATCATCATGTGGTGGTCCAGCGGACTAGTTAAGCTGACTTCTGACGCAAATTCGTAGCACTGTACTTTACAGATGAGATGAACTTATCGACGTTGACAATGTGTGTGCGGGAGCACACATTGTAAACGTAGACGAGTTCGTCTCCTCTCCTCACCATTGTCCAGTCCAAGGCTGCCTTCTCTGGCTTTCTCGAGCTTTGATGTTTCCTTGTATACGAATGTAAACAACGAGAATGCAGTGCAGGATGTCTTATTCCTCCCTGAGGGACATCAAAACCACATCTCTACGATGTAATTTTCCTCATATCACCACTATATATAATTTGCTTCGTCTGTTTGTTTGTCTGTCCGGAAATTCGGTTCGACCTGAAGAACGACTTGGAGAGGTCGGGTCAAGGTGGGGATGGGTAGGGCATGGGACAAGAAGTAAGGAGCACACTTGACCTATGCGAAGCCCCGCCCACAGTGGGCGGGGCATGAACCGAGTTGCGGTACCGCGGACAAAAACTCATAATTTGCTTCCGGAGCAGAAGGGAAAAGTGGAATAATGTTAGCAAGGGGTTGCCAGACTAACTGGGAGAGACACACCCAAAATGGGGTAGTCGGTTCCCGAGAGGGTTTAGAAATCGCAAAAGACTCGACACAGAAGTGCAATGCGGGTGTACGGCACGCCTGTTGAGACCGCCCACAGTGGGCGGGGCTAGCCTTCAATCGCAGGATACTCATTTCAAAAGTTTGTAGCTCGGTTCCAGAACACTTCCAGAGACCGGAAAAACGAGGATTAAGGTCAGCGAGGGCTCGCCGATCAAGAAATGTGGGCACACATGTTGTGAGCGGAGCCTGCCCCTGTGGGCGGATATAAATAAAGTCTGTAAAATAGTTCCAGAACACTCCAGACCCAGAAAAAAGGTGGACTAAGGTCAGCGAGGGCTGGCCGATTGAGAAATGTGGGGCACACGTGGAGCCTGCCCCTATGGGCGGATGTAAATAAAGTCTGTAAAATGTTCCAGAGCACTCCAGACACCGTCAACATGTGAGCAGAGATGTGCAGGAGCTCAACTGTTGAAGTGAGATAGACACGCCCATTGCGGGCGGAGCATGCATCGAAGTGAGCGGAGAGAGTCAAGAATTCACGACTCGGTTGCGGAGCAGCATTGGGACACCAGGGACAAGAGGACTGAGTCAGAAAGATGTGAAAGAAGGTACGCGCGGCAAAGCCGCGCCCGTCCGACGTAGCCTGGCCGTATCACAGAAAGGAGGCGCGCCGACGTCAGCCGGTGAGCCGAATGGTAAGCACTAAGGGAACTCATCGAATTAGCGCTGCTGCTTCTGTATAAACAACGAGATCTACAGGCAGGAGCGAAGCAGGAGCCGCGGGCAATCGTATAGCAGTGCTCTACTATGTAGTGAGACCAAGCCGAGAAGTCATCATTGTTAAATGGAATCCTGTTCTGCAAATGTTACAGGTTACATATGACGTCAGGCGTTCCGCGTCCTGAGGAACTTCTGAATTCCCATTTGTCTCGTTTTTCGTACTCGTCCACTGACCAAGGAGTCCGCCAACTTACCATGGAACTTTGAATGGAGACCTGGGTAGATCGATAGAGTCTATAAGGTTATTTACAAATATAGATAGCAAAACTGCAACCTGCATTTCACAAGCAACTTATGAGCAGGTAAAGTTTGTAATGGTGCAGTAGGGTGGAGGCTTGGTGGTGAGCTGTGAAGCATAAGCGAGGAATCGCATACGTCGAATCGAGTCGTCGAACGTCGAACCTTACCACTGAACCACCACGACTCGATTGCGTTGCAGTTTTGCTACATTGTAAATAACCTTATAGACTCGATCGATCTACCCAGGTCTGCATTCAAAGTTCTATGGTAAGTTGACGGACTTCCGTGGTGTAAGCACTCCTAATGTCATCAAGATTTATGGAAGTCGGAGTCGCAACCAGTCTTGTAGATACTGTGCATCTGAAAAACTTGCACCGGTGATCCGATTCAATGCAGAGGATGTGGGAAAAAGTCGGTGAAAATCGCAAGACCTTTGCAGAATCGATTGGATAGGCCCATCCAGCAAAATAAAGAAAAGAAAGAGAAGTCTCGATGTATCTTTTGTTCTGCTATAAGCTTGAGAATTGTAAATAAAAGGCGACAAGGGCATTCGAAAAGCTCGCCGACCAGTGTTAAGCAAGTTAGGAGCTTCGAACACACCGACCAAAATATTCATATTCAAGCGTAAAGTTTCACACTACAGCACGAGATTTCGCTCCTTGAGCCCTTCCTCAGGTTTACAAAAAAAAACAAGCACTACGTAATCAGTCCCAATTAAAGACTCTTCTAGAAGAACATACCTTTTCAAGTTCATCCTCACTGAGATTCGTTATAGAGCCCTTTTCACGAGGTTCGGGAGATTTATGCTTCCCAGCAGTTTTCTCGTGTCTGCCTTTACTCAGCGACGAATCATCCCTTTTCCCTAAAAAATTATGAAACACTGCAAGGAACTCATAGAAAAATATTCACAGAATACCACTGTGGCGATCATGTGCAGGTGCAATCCTTCTAGGAGGCGACAGCGAGCGGCGCCGAGGAGACGGTGATCGACGCCACGATCTACAACGAGATACTTGAGCTTTCCACTTGCTCTCTATTGAAAGCAACCTAACCTTCCGGCCTTCCAATCATCGTAACCACTAGGCGAACGATCCCTCTCTCTCCTCCAGTTATCGCTTCCTTCCGTTCTCTGCATAAATAATTTGTGCTAAGACCACACCTAACGAGCATATGTTGTGGTAAACAAACAAACTTCACTTGCCCACGAATGTGTTTCCAAACCACGCTTCCACGACATTGGTGACCTGAAAAACCTTGGTTCGGAAGCCAGCCACCAAACAATTTCAGCTTGAACGTCTATAAGGAAGCTACTCACTCGACAACAGGTTCCGGGCGACGCGGATGACCCGAAGAACGCCAGTCTTCTTCTTAAAAATGCATTGAATTGACATTGCAATTATTAAGTCAACAGTGGAGCGGCAAAACTAGGGTGTCCGTTCATTGATTGAGACCGAGGCTGATTACTGGCGCGAGCAAAACAAAAATAGAAGAAGCGTCGAAAACGCCCCAAATAACACCAGTTCAGTTTTGGGCGCGCGGCAAGTAGTTGTGCACGGGCCCAAGGGTCACGTCAGCATCACCGCGCTCGCAGTATACCCACCCGGGGGAAATGGGCATGTCAGGCACTCTTACTTCAGAAACGCGATGTACTGTGGAAGCGGCGGTTCTGGTAAGTTCTTCATTATTGATATCATAAGGATATCAGCACTTTTACCCTACCACGCCACATTCACTACTAGCTACTTAACATTTTTTGTCGCATCCTGTCCCATCAAAGTTGACCACGATTACGAAGTGGGCGTTGACCCCGCGCCTAGGGTGCAGGGCACTTCACGCCGTGAGCTTATTACACCCTTATTACGCAATTCCATGTAACGAAAGCGACGCTCTTGTCGGTGTGAACCTGCGCATCCTAGATGAGAGACGCACCACCAGGTAATTGAATACTGTGCTTCTAACTGACAGATGTACTGATATCAGTGCTGAAGAACTAACTGATCGGTGAACAATTTACCTCGTTTTGGGAAACCAGGGTACTCTATTATTGCTGATCTTAAACTGCGTTCACGTTCGTCATATAGTGCTGGTCGTCTACCAAAACCATCATCGAGGAAACCCCTTCTTTCGAGCTCAAAACGTCCGCGATCCACCTTTCCTATCTGAAGAAAAAGTAATGGAAATTTGCAGCACACACTAATACATTTAATAATAGATATTTCAAAATATTTTTTCGATGTAGGCTTACTTTCTGGCTCTCTATATGGAACGACACGTCGATCAGTAGTACC